TTCTATGTTATGTTCATGTTTATGTTCATAAACTTTTTATTTAATAAAATATGTTTTCATAGTTTGTGTTGTCCCTTATTATCAATGCAAAATGGTCACTAACTAAAGAGGATTTATGCTGATATTGCCCAAAAACCCTATTTTGTTCAGGCGTTTCCAAACTTTTGGAGGGCAGTGTAAATGACATTCAAATTGGTTCTATATTTATATATGGTTCTATACTTGTGTTTTGAGCCATTATTTGTTTTCCATGATTAAAAATAATTATAATCATGTCTAAAGACGTTCAGGATGCTCTAGACAGCATGTATGATGCTCATGTTCCAAAGTTGTGGCAGAGAATTTCATGGCAATCAGCCATTCTTGGTTTTTGGTTTACTGAGCTTCTTGAAAGGGACCAGCAATTCCATAGCTGGACTTTTGGAAGCTGCCCTCATCATTTTTGGCTGACGGTTTTCAGACTCCTTTACTTTATATAAGGGTTTCTTAACAGCTATGCGTCAAGAGACAACACGTACAAACCTGGCTAAAGGTTGGGCCTTGGACACTGTTGTGCTACTCAATAATGTAACAAGAATGATGATGCAGAATGTGACAGGACCACCTCCAGGAGATGTAGGAGGGGTCTACATCTATGGACTCTTTCTAGATGATGCAGGGTGGGACAAATGGAACAGCAAGGTAACAGAATCTTCTCCAAAGGTATGCCTCAGAAAATACAGAGAGAAATGTATGGTACAAATGCTCAAAAATATAGCAGTAAGTTGCTTCTAAAAGTGGTGAACCAAATTTATGTATGGCAGCTGTATAGCTTCTGCTGAAATGGGTTCGTATTGTGCAAGCAGTGATAAATAGTGATTGTTTTAGGTATTTGTAAAAGCTTTTAGTTTCTTTCTTGCATGAGACTGTCTTTTTTCATTGGATGGCAGGTTCTCTTTACCCCTATGCCAGTGGTGCGTGTCTATGCTGTCAGCAGTGTCAATATAGCAGATATCAAGTGACATCAGAGCATCAGCCTATACGCCTGTCCAGTATACAGGAAGCCCAGACACACTGACCCTCAACTTTATATTAAACATGTTTCTCCGCCTAATGGTTAGAGAGTCGGACTTGTAACCTGAAGGTGAACCTGAAGTTCATGGGTTCGAGTCTCAGGCCGGAAGGGATTGTAGGTGGGGGGAGTGAATGACCAGCACTCTCATACACCCTCAATACCATGACTGAGGTGAGACCCTTGAGCAAGGCACCGAACCCCAAACTGCTCCCCAGGCACCGCAGTAAAAAAGGCTGCCCACTGCTTCGGGTGTGTGTTAACGGTGTGTGTGTTCACTACTGTGTGTGTGCACTTGGATGGGTTAAATGCAGAGCAAATTCCGAGTATGGGTCACCATACCTTGCTACACTTCACTTCAAATAATGAAGTTTTCTTTTCTTTTCTTTTAGCATTGGAGCAGCAAGACCTGAATGTTTACTGAAACTTATTTGTTTCTAATTATTTTTATTGCTAATTTATATTAATTATATATTGGATATTCTGTGGTGATGGGATATATTTGTAAAATTATCCAAGTATTATAATTGACTCTATTATTTACTTTATACCCAGCTACCAATAGATACATTTGTAGAAAAGTAAAAATGTTTTAACATACATAAAAACATAATCTGAAGTAACATCCAATAGACTGTGCTGTATATGGTTGTCTAACTGTTTTCCCAGTATAATGTGTTATATACAGTCAGGTCCAGAAGTATTTGGACACTGACAGAGTTTTTGTGATTTTGCCTTTATACACCACCACAATGGATTTGAAATAAAACAATCAAGATGTAATTGAAGTGTAGACTTTCAGCTTTACTTTAAGAGGCTCCACAGAAATATGGCATTTATCATTTAGGAATTACAGCCAATTTAAGCAAAGGACTTCCATTTTCAGGTGCTCAAAGGTATTTGGACAATTGACGGATAAGAAGTTAATTGACCAGGTACAGGCCATTCCCTTGTTACTGCAACACAAATGAAGCAGATAAAAGGTCTGGAGTTGATATCAGGTATTGAGCTGGCATTTGGCAGCTGTTCGACTGGAGCTACCAATATGAAGTCCAAGGAGATCTCAGTGAAAGGGAAGGAGGCCATTATTAGTCTTAAATCTATAAGAGAGATAGCAAAAACCTTAGGTGTGGCCAAATCAACCAAATCTTTTTCATTCTTAAAAAGAAA